GTGGGGCCTGAACTCTGGGCCTGGGCGCTGTCCCTCAGCTCTTCAGCTCAAGGCTAGCGCTCTACCACTTGAGCCACAGTGCCACTTCTGGCTTTGTTTTCTTTTTGCTTATGTGGTGCTGAAGAATCGAACCCAGGGCCTCATGCATGCAAGGCAAGCGCTCTACCACTGAGCCACCTTCCCAGCCCCCAAAAATTTAATTCTTTAATGAAAAAAATTTTTTTCCCCCATATCATTCTTTCAGATGGAACCAAGAAACCTAGCAATAGTTTTTGGGCCAACACTTGTTCGGACCTCAGAAGACAACATGACACACATGGTCACGCATATGCCCGACCAGTACAAGATCGTGGAGACACTCATCCAGCACGTAAGTCCACCCATGCCCCTTCCTTCCTTCCTTCACTCTTTCCTTCCTTCCTTCCCACAGCTCCTTTCCACTGGAAGCTCATTCTTGGTAGGAAAGAATTTGGTTCTGCTTTGTCTTTAGAAAATTTCCTTGTTTCTCTATAGTATCCTCCAAGATAAAAACATATATTTAAGAGGTTATTTAATTTTCCTTTTCACCTTTTTCCATTTTAAATTTTAGCATGACTGGTTTTTCACAGAAGAAGGTGCTGAAGAGCCTCTTGTAAGTATCTTGTGTCAGCATTTCCACTCAGTTTTCATTGGGGACAAAAGCTCTGGATGTTCCAGCAGTGTCAACTTTCAGCTTTGTACACTGCCTGCTTTGCACCCCGGGAGCCGGGTGCTAGCCTCTCAATCTGATCTAATGAAAATACAAGTACAGTGCTTAATTTGCAGTTAATTTTGTGGAACCGTGTAAACCAAGTACATATACACAAGCGCTCTGTACACTAATGTGTCTTTTTGAATTGTAAAGAAAGAATCTTTGAAGAGATGACGAAGAGATCTTTGTTTGTTAACCGTAGACCACAGTGCAGGAGGAAAGCACAGTAGACTCGCAGCCAGTGCCAAACATAGATCATTTACTCACCAACATTGGAAGGACAGGCGCCTCCCCGGGAGATGTATCAGGTAACTGCTGCCTAGGCAGTATTGACCTCTAGGTTATAAGCTACCTTCTTAGAATGCTAAAGAGCAAGTCAATCATAACAACTCACTATGATTATTTCTTTTTCTCCTTTTTTGGTTTTCTTTTCTACTAATAAACTTAAATCTTTTCTGATCGATCTCAATTATCTTCCAGTATCTGTATATGCCATTGACAGTGCATGGACTTGTAATGTTTGTCAGAATGAAGTATGAGGGCAATGAGCATGCAAACCACTGTTTCGTTTTTGTTTTGTTTTTTTTTAATTCACAGTTTCCATGTAATAGTCATCACAAGGTAAAACAGATCTATGCTACTGAATATGTGGTTGCTGTGATGGCAGAAAGTATTGATGTAGACTGTTTACGTAGTTTTTATTCCTGGAGCCGCAAATTGCCTATGTTGAAATGCTAACGAACACCATTCTCATTAAGTACAGTGGATGAGATGTCACAGTCAAAAGTCACTATATGACCTTTATTTTCTTCTGTTTCCTATTGCCACCCTAATGCTTGGTTAAGTATTAGTTTTCCTAGGCGGCTCTTTCTGATGAAAATTGTCTCCTGCCAGGTTGTTTGCACTAATCTAGCATGCTGTTCCATGCCATGTTCTCCCTTTGTCTCTAGTTCTTGTTTTAGTCCTAAAGGATTTTTTTCAGCACTAACTGACACAGGCAAATGTATACTGATGTTGCACAGGCGAAGTGGGAGGAGTCTATCACACGGTAATGTCACTAGTGGATTCGGTGATGTCCCTGATGGACAGCTGGAACTGTAGGAAGAAGGAGGACTGCTGTCCACACTGTAGCTGCCTTGTCTGCAGAAACCCCCGATTCTTGTAAATGCAAAACATCGTTGATCTGTGGTGTAACGTTTCTCTTAAGAATATTGTAGACAGATCAATACTACTTTCTTAAAAGTTTTTCTGCTGTTTCTTGTTATTTCTGAAGCAGACCGGGAGGAGAAATAGCATGGTATGGTCTACCAGTTCTTAAAAGTCATAAAGCATTTAGCCATGTGTTAAAAGGGGCGTGGCACGGGGCTCAGCTCATTCATTTTGAAAATCAAGTTTCCCGAGAGTTGGATGATAAAAATTTCAAATTGCTGTGATTCTGAATAGTGCTAGCCCCTTCCTACCCTCTTTATAATTGTATAATCTGAGTTTTTGCCAGACAGTAAAATTATGGTCTCCATTTTTTCCATTTCCATAATAGCATATGTTAACAGATAAATTACAAAACTGGTAGCAATTTAACCAAAGTAGTCAAAAGGATCCCTGCCTGCTCAGATATAAAACTGGGGTCTGAAATGCCCACATTATCTATTATGAAACCAAAGAGACCTGCTAGCAGGGTTATCCTAATGCTTCTTCTGTATCCATGTGCCAACAGCACATGCTTATAAAATTGAAGTCTGACAAAAATCAATGTCAATACACCAGTATGAGTGTCTCAATTGGTAGCAAGGGCGGCCAACCATCTTCAGAGTTCTACATTGTGTATCGGTTTCAGATACAGGATGTGGTACCTAATACAATTATTAAAAAGGTCTTCAAGCTTCTTATTGCTAGTTGTAACATTTAGAAATAAACACTAGTGTTTCTGTTTTTGTTTAGTACAGGGCTCCTTTGCCATTCCTATCATTGAGCTGGTTCTGCCTACAATTCACAGCATCCTTTCATGGCGGTGGCTTTCTGTGGTGCAGCTTGCATCTTTGTGAGCTCTGACTATCCACTGTGTTCTCTTGTTTTGAGTTTTGCTTTCCATTTTGTTCTGTGCCTGTCTTCTTCCATGAGTTTTGCATTGTTTGTTGCAAGCAATAAAGCTTGGCTAATACTGACCCTGTCTTATTTTCACTTTCCACAGATTCAGCTACTAGTGATTCAACAAAATCTAAGGTAAATTGGTTTCTGTGGCTTGTGGGTGATTGTTATGAATAATACACATGTGCATCCCTGTCCGACAAATACAAAAAAGGTAGAATGTGGTAGCCAACTGAATGGGGAGTTGGAGAGTTCAGTGTTTCAGGGTGGCTGAGCATAAACTAAGCAAGTAGGCAAATGTTTGACACATGCAGAAGTGGGGTGAACATGCACCCATCCTTATCCACCCACAGTGCTCAGCTCCAGCCAGGCCTGCTTCTGCATACCTCTGCTTTGTTACAGTGTGGGAGCAGATCCCGAACAGTATGCTATTTTACCTGTGAACATTCAGTACTAGGGTAGACATAATATATAGTGTTATGGAAAATACATTTTCCACTTTTCAGCAAAATTGCTAATTTGTGTTTATGATCAATAGTTTTAATAGTGTCCTATTAATAGCAATACCAAATTAGAAAACTTTCTACAAACTACTTGAAGTTGTATATTAATCTGTTTTCTAAGTCATTCAGTCTAGACTGCTTTATAGAGGCAGTAGCAAGATATGTTTAACTTAATTTGAAAAATTGTAAACTTACAGAAAAGTTGCTACAATAGTACTCAAATCCTGTTTGTTAGAATTTGAGTCATTCGAGAGTTACCAATAGACAAGATAATAGTACCCTAGAATTTCAGCATATATCTCCCAAGTACATTCTCTTAGATAATAGATTTATTATATTCAGGATATTAACAGAAGCACAGGACATAATTACAGTTTTTACACAAATGTATCCATTTGCCCAATAATGTTCTTTTCTGCTTTCTGATGCATTTACTATCCTGTTTCTTTAAACTTTTAAACCTACAACAGTTTCCAAACCTTTTTTTGCTAGACTTTTTAGTATATTTTTGTTGTTTTTGAGATAGGATCTTGCTAAGTAAGTAGCCCAGGTGGCCCTAGAACTTAATATCCTCTAGCTTCAGTCTCCTATGGGCTGGGATTGCAGCACACCAACTTCAGAAGATGAAACCTTAAAATGTGTTAGAAATCCTTGCCTTCTCTCTCCATCACGGTTTTGTACCATACCTGTACTATGTTGGACACCAAATGGTGGATGGGTTTCTCAACTTAGGAAAGTCATTTTCCCCAGCACATACAGGATGGAGTCACAGGAAGAATGTTGAAGTCAGAGAGTGACAGTGTGTCAGGCCAGTAATCCTAGCTATTCAGAAAGCTGAGATCTGAGACTGTGATTGCATCCAGCTCAGGCAGGAAAGTTTGTGAGACTTATTTCACCAAAAAAGCCTGAAATGGAGTAGTGGCTCAAGTAGTAAAGAGTGCTAGCCTTGAAGCAAAAAAGTTCAAGGATAGCACCCAGGCCATTAGTTTAAGCCCCAGTCATAGAGAAAATATAATGCAGCTACTTTTCAACCAGTGAATATGAGATGTTCAAAAGCTGAGTGCCAATGGCTCACACTTATAATCCTACTTACACAGGAGGAGGCTGCAATCTAAAGGATGGCAGCAAGCAGGGCTGATGGTATGGTTCAGGTGATAGCAGGACCCCAGTGCCACCAAATAGAAAAAACAAATGAATAAATCATCCAGTTGCTGCAAGACTTACATCACAATCTAGGGAAGGAACCCAAGGTTTCCTAATTCAGGGCCCAATCACAAACATCATCCCTGTTGCCTTCAGCAAAAAGTAGGGAAAAAGGAAAACACTCTAATGTAAATATTGTGTTTAAAGACCTCAGCATAGCAATTTAGATTCTGTGTATGTTGTCTAACCCATTATGCAGCATACCTTCTACTTGTTTGAACCTTCCATCTTAGTGTACCCTAAAACACCTGTTGACTCCACCCCCACTTATTTACTAAGAATGCCGACATCATAAATGAACAAACTCAACATAATAAATAAAATCCTCAAACATACTTGTAGTAAAGTTAAGGTCCCATGATTGACTTTGTTACTCGGTTATTACCTTGAAATAAAGCCAGTACTAACCTGATTAACCTAAGACAAATTCCAGCAGATCCAGCCTGGCTGAACTAGAAGCAGCCTAAAGTGCCTTACCTGAATGAGCTCATCTGATCTAGTACCTACATCTGCAATAAAGAGTCCATGCCAGAATATTGTTGTTTAACTCTGGAAATGGCAATGTCTGTACTGGAAAGTTAGATGCCACTGCACATAGCTTATTTCCCTGAAAGACAGATGTATACATGAGTTATGATTTGGCAGCTATTACCAGCAAGAATTGAGATGTATGGTCAAATAAAAATTTATCTTTAGAAGCAGAGCTGTGGCTCAGAGTGGTAGAGTGCTATAGCGCCTTGAGCAAAGCGAAGTCAGGGACAGCAATCAGGCCCTGAGTGCAAGCCCCATGACCAACAACAATAGAGAAAGACAGTATTATTTTGCTGGCCATCCATGGCTCAGGCCTGTAATCCTAGCTACTTAGGAGGCTGAGATCTGAGGATCGTGGTTCAAAGCCAGCTCAGGCAGAAAAGTCTGCGAGATTCTTACCTCCATTTGGAAAAAAAAAAAAACAAAAACCAGTGAAGTGGAGCTGAGGCTCAAAGTGGTAGAGTGCTCGCCTTGAGCAAAAGAGCTCAGGGACAGCACCGGGCCCCGAGTTCAAGCCCCATGACCGACAAAAGAAGAAAAAGATCGTTGGTACAAACTAAAAAGAGGTATTACACTCGTGAGGGCTTCTCTAGACATGTTCTTTGAGAACCGTGTGAGGAGGGTGTCAGTAATGTTCTTTCCCTGCTTGCCCCCCAGGGTTCTTGGGGATCCGGAAAGGATCAGTACAGCCGGGAGCTCCTTGTCTCCTCCATCTTTGCAGCTGCTAGTCGCAAGAGGAAAAAGCCCAAAGAAAAAGCCCAGCCTAGCAGCTCCGAGGACGAGCTGGACAATGTCTTTTTTAAGAAAGAAAATGCAGACCAGGGCCACCAGGAGAGTAAAGAAGAGCCCCCGAGAGAAAGCGAGACCCCAGGCAGAAAGCAGCGGATCGTGGGTACCAAAGAGCAGAGCGCGAGGAGGGAGCCGGCAGCCAGGGAGGGGAGGGTGGCCGTGCGCCCGGAGCGTGCGCCCTCCGAGGAGCGTACCCCCAGGCCCGGCGGCCCGCCCGGACCGCCGCCGCCCCCCAAGGCCTCCCCGTGTGAGGACGCGGGGTCCGACGCCGGCACCTTGCCCCGCGCCGCTTCCCAGGCTCCCCTGGCCAGACTGGCCACCAAGAAACCCACCAGTCCCGACGCCAGACACGGTGAGCTTTTGGCCAACGTGGGCACCCTGCCCTCGGATCACTCCACCCCGGTGTCGGCCGCCCCCGGCGTGACCAGCCTCGACTCCAGCCGGCTGAGCCCCGAGGTGCAGTCGGTGGCCGAGAGCAAGGGGGACGAGGCGGACGACGAGCGGAGCGAGCTGGTCAGCGAGGGGCGGCCGGTGGAGACGGACAGCGAGAGCGACTTCCCCGTCTTCCCCTCGGCCCTGGCCCCCGACCGGCTGCTGCCCCGAGGCCGCGGCCCGGAGTCGGCCAAGGGCGGCCGGAGGAACTCGGAGGGAAGCGAGGCGAGCTGCACGGAGGGCAGCTGGACCCCGAGCCTGGACAGCCGGCGCCAGCTCTTCAGCTCGCACAAGCTGATCGAGTGCGACACCCTCTCCAGGAAGAAGTCGGCGCGGTTCAAGTCGGACAGCGGCGGCCTCGGGGAGCCCAAGGCCGAGCGGGACGCGCCCTCGGTCGCCAAAGTGTTCGATGTCATGAAGAAAGGGAAGTCCACCGGCAGCCTCCTGCTCACCCCGAGCCGGGGCGAGGCCGAGCCCACCTGGAGAACCAAGATCGCCGATCGCCTCAAACTCCGGCCCCGAGCACCCGCCGCCGATGACATGTTTGCCGTGGGAAACCCCAAGTCCGAGACTGGCAAGCGGAAAAACATCAAGCGCCGCCACACCCTCGGGGGCCACCGGGACGCCACGGAAATCAGTGTTCTGAACTTCTGGAAAACGCACGATGCGAGCGGAGGGGAGCAGAGAGAACCGGAACTTTCAGCTGTGAATCGGTTAAAACCAAAATGTCCAGCCCAAGACCTGTCCATCTCAGACTGGCTTGCCAGGCAGCGCCTCCGCACCAGCACCGGTGACCTGAGTCGGGGCGACCCGGAGAACCCCGGCCTCTTAGAGACGTCCAACCCCGACCCACCTTCCTCCAACCAGCCCCACGCCTCGGGCTCCCCTCCAGGGCCCAGGCCGTCTCTTTCCACCGCACCACAGTCACCTGACCAAATAAACGGAGAAAGCGTCCAGAACATGAGTCACCATGCCAGTTCTGTAGCTGCTGTCTGTCCTCATAAACTGGCCGACGCCCCCGGCACTAAAGCACAGATTCATCCCTGTCTTTAAGCTTCGGGGTGGGGGGTGAGAGGGGTTCCAGTCCATCCTAGCAAATAAAAAGCTACTGTTACATGTTTCCTGTCACTCTGTAAATATTTTCTTGTACCAGAATTGTTATTATTGCAGCCTTCAATTGGGCTCGTTTCATCATCTTGCACTGTGAAATAGCTTTACAGTGCATTACTACAGCCAGAAGAACACACATGTGTATTTAAAAATATATTGGATAGTTGTATATTTGTTACAACTTACTACATAGTGTATACGCCCCGCCCCAAATTACTGAAGAAGATCGCCGGCATTATTAGTTCTTTGGTTTTCATCACTAACAAAAGTGCCTCATCATAAAAGTACATTTGATTTTTTTTTAGGGTGCCATATTGTTAAAACAAAAACAACAACTTCTATCACTTACCTGGAATTTTTTTAAAAAATGCATCTTTCTCGGTAACGAATTTCATGCCATTGACCAGTTTTAACACAGGTGGATGCAGAACTTTCATTCTTGTCATTCCTGGTGGATCTGAGTTTTATATTCAAACTTTTAATACAGTTGAGTTTTGTGTGACTTGAATTTTTAATCTTTCTGTAAAATACGTAACTTAATGAACATATTCTATGTGTATCTTTTCTTCAGATACCAGATTTGATATAAATGTTGTAACATAGGTGTGTAGATAGTGGGTCCTGGATGGAACTGGCCTCTTACCGAGAATATAATTCTGCATGAGGACGTAATGAATCAAACCTGTGTCATGCCTGTGTGCACAAGCAATTAAACACTGGAAATAAAAATTGTTTTGGTGAATTTTGCATGGCTTGAAGCTCATTTTGTTTCTTAAGGTGACCCATTCATATCACTAATTGGCCTCCATCTCCTCTATGCTGTGGCTGGCAGGGAGCTCTTACAGACACAATAGGCTAAACTCACAGGTGAGTATGCGTCACTTTGCTAGTTAAAGTAGTGCATATTGCTTACCTTTAGGGGCAGTGGAAAGCACCCAGTTGGGAGTCTTTGGGACTCTCTCTCCTAGATCAGTTCACTTGGGCAAACTAACTTTTTAAAAAGTATTTCCTCTTACCAACAGTGACAATATTACTACCTGGCCTAAGGTGCTTATTAGGTTTATTTTATTTTTTTTTATTGTGAAAATACCGTACAGAGGGGTTACAACTGCATGGGCAAGGTACATTTCTTATCAAGTATTGTTGCCTCCTCCTTTGTTTCACCTTCCCATCCCTTCCCATTACACCCCCCCAAAGTTGTAAAGTTCGTTTTTAGACATATCTTGTACATCTCATTGTTGCAATGGGTTTTTTCCCTTACCCTCCACAAATTATACCAACATCAAATACACTGAAAGCAGGGGTTATACTGTGGGGGAGGGACATACAAAGAAACACAGAAATCATAAATATATTAGAAACAATCACAAGAAAGAAAAAACATTTGGATCCTTATCTTGGGGTTCATTTCGCCTAATATCAACTTATCTGACCCTACTGTTCCAAATAAAGCAGCTCTGCTGTCCTTAGAAGAAATAATGCCTACATCCATATGAACTCTCAGAATGTTAATGCTTGAGAAAGCTTATCATTGAAGTTAGACATTCTCAATAGTCATACCTGCTATTTTTATGTTTAAAAGTTTTTGAAAGTTTTATCATCATGAATTCATAATCTACACATAAATTTTATTTTTGATATATGGTACAGAGGGAAAAAAAAAGGAAAAGTAATTTATACTAGATTCTGTAATATATAAGTGCTCAGGCACCCCATTACAGATATGTGGTGACATAGTTAAATGTTTCAAGTACATAAACTCACAATGTCATCACTGATGCAGAAGTTTCCCTTGCCTAGTGTTTGTGACGGTGCTGGTATAAACAGGCCTGTACTTCCAGTTATCTAAAAGTATAGCATGTACAATTATGTGCAGTACATAGCACTAGATCATTCGTATGTCACTGGTGTATATATATATATATATATATATATATATATATATATATATATGAATATGTATGTATATATATGTATATAAAGTATCACAGGTCTGAACTCAGCCTCTTTCCAGGCAGGTGTTCTACCACTTGAGCCACACCTCAAAACCTGGATTTTTCTCATGATAGTTCGGCATCATGTTTGACCTCAGTAACTGAACCTACAACATGGGGGGGGGCGGGTTATGGCCCTTTCAACTCAAATGCTTTGATGATATTTTTTGCTTTCATTGTAGAGGTAATAATACTATATAGCATTACTGAGAAAGGGAGGCAGCTTGTATCTAGGGTTTGTTTTTTGGGTCTTTGAAAGGCTTGCTAAACTGCAGTTTCTGCCCTGGGAAGGAAGGAGTTGGTGTAAAAGACATTCCTTAGGTTATGCAAGATCGTGTTCATTTCAGTCCTGACCCTGAGTCTCCTGCAATGCCACACCAGATAGGGAAGATAATGGCTCTGACCTGGCTACCTCCCATTCATGTGACTCCTCAAATGCTGTCCTGTGACATTGTAAACCCATCTATTAGGATAGTCAGGCCTACAGTAATCTCCAGACTCATCACCCAACCTTAATAAAAGCAACCATTTTGTCATAGCTGGCATCAGATCCTTTTAAATACTTTACATGTGAGATGAAATTTTCCATCATGTGGTCACTCCAGGCACATTTTTTTTGTCTCCCAGTAGTCACTCATGAACCTATCTTTCCAATCCACATTTTACTTTTCTTTTATACTTAGCCAAAGTAATAACTATTATGATCCCATTTTCACAGGCACAGATACTGACGCAGCATCTCTGTGGTTACCTCCGTGCAGGCGCACAGCATATCATAGTGTCGCTGGGTTGTGAGATGGATGTTGACAGCTTTATGAGGTTATGCCAGATGAGTCTTTATGGTTGTAACAATCCAGCATCCGACATACACTGCTGTGTGAGGAGTCTCACCTCTTCACAGCCTCTGAGACCTGATGCTTTGTGTTTTCTCTTAAGATTAATGGATTCCTCACTGTGCACTTAACTACCTTTGCTAAGTAAGAGCATTTTCAGGTATTCAGGGGCCATCCCATAACATCCTGAGTCAATTATGTTAACTTTGACTTTTCCTCAGAGATCTTTGCACAAGCTAAATACTAATCCAGATTTCAAATACTTTCACTGGGGTTTTTTTTTCCACCTTTAGTTCTTTGCATAGGTGTTCCTTTACCTTAAGCAGTTTATTATCTTTAGACTCGCTTAGAAATACTTCGGTATCAGAAATACTTCAGTATCCACAGGCATAAATTGTATGTTATTAGTAGACATGAAGCATGGCTTTCACATATCTGGAATTTATTTTGTGAATAAGTTGGACCAGCAACACACACACTGTGGTGTTACAAAATTTCAGAACCAAGATTTTATTTGGGGGGGACACAGTACTGGGGTTTGAGTTCAGGGCCTCACACTTGCTAGCAAATGCTCTACCATTTGAGCACCCCTTCTATCTTTTTTATTTCCCCAGACTGGCTTGAATTATGATCCTCCTACTTATGCCTCCTATATAGCTGATTACAATTGTGACCCTCCATGCCCAATTGTTTATTCAGATAGTCTCAAAAGAATAAAAAAAACAAGGCTGCCCTCAAGCTCCCTCTCTCTGCCTCTTGAGATTACAGGTCTGATCCATTGCACCTGACCTAGATCCGTGAATTCTTATACATGAAAACGTAAGGTCTCTACTTGCCACTGCACTGTGCAAAACTTAGAAATTATATAACAGTAGGCATCTGAACAGTAGGTATATGAATATATATTAGTGTTTGTGTAGTTCACATGCATATATTTGTGTAAGTACATTTATATGTGGTATGTATCTAAAATAAAACTTTAAGGTACATAAAATTAAGAATCAAATACAATACAAAGAAGCAAAGGGTAATGCTCACTGAAAGTACAAATTAACTGTGATTTGGAGAGCACCAGCACAAATCTGTTTGGTAAATAGTCTTGTGTAAGGAGACAAAACACCCAGAAAGATTTGTGGGATTGAAGGCATCACCCCTTTCCAGACTGCAGGCACACATGTGCACAATCCCAATTAAAGAATTACGAGTTCATATTAATCCTTTGTTTTCCTGTTCTCTTTTGTATGAGCCCAATTCTTCTACTAGGTTTTCTTTTAGGAAGAAAAAAATTATCTCCATGTTCATGTATTGCCCCACCTCCCATGCATCTCCACGTTCATGCATTGCCCACCTCCCAAGCATATAGAGAAACAGCAGGTATCTTGAACCAGTGTTTCTGTGTGTGGCAACAGTGGGAGTTGCTCAGGACTGAAGTACAGAAGGGAGTTGGTACCACAGAAGAGCACCTATTACATGGTCCTCCTGTGGCCCTACTAGGAAAGTTCAAATGACAATTCAACCGCATCTTACGAGAACATAGAGAGGCACATACAAGGAAAGCTTAGCTTTATCTAGCCAAGGAGAATATTGAGAAATATATGCTCAAACTTTCCTGTCTTAGAACAGTTTCAAAGGGAAAATATTGTGAATTGGTGGCCGTTTGTTGCCCATGAGGTTCTGCACGTTTTCTTCCAGACAAAACAAGATGTCAAGAAACTCATGTACTGTCTGAAACTAGAATACAGACAGTGGTCCTGAAAATCTCCCAACAGAATAAGCCGAACAACAGGAACACAACACAGGGTAATCATATGCCATATAGTCTAATATCACGTAGACTAGTCAGCATTATATATTTCTTGGGGTCAGGGGGAAGGAAAGGGACCAAGTGCTTTCCAAGCTGTAAACCCTTTTCATGCCTTTCCTTGCTTTCTCTTCACTGTGCAGTTCTACAGGTGTTTCCTTACAGGTAATAGTACTCTTATCTGCACTGTGCAAATAGACATTCCTTTACATAATGCTGCAATGGAATTCAATAGTTTCATGGCAGTTTCATTTGAGTTAAAAATCAGTGGGCAGTGAAGCAATCCAGATTCTCTACATAATGAGCCAGCAAATAGTTAAGGATCTCTAACATATCATGAATATTCCCTTATATAAAATACTCTTAACTGCTTAATGAGGGAGAGTGGGAAGACAGGTTAAGAGGGTGAATTTTTGTTTCCTTTGCAGAGAATTCTAGTCAATTCCAACCATTCATAAATGGACTAAGCTGACTTGGAAAATGTTAAGGTAAACCCTGATGTCCTCACCAAGCCAGATTTTCCACCTCTAAAGCATCATGATTCAATGCAATTTTCCATATGGTTCCAACCAGTTTGGGGTGGTTCAGTGTGTATCAAGCAGATGAATGAAGAATGAACATGCAACTATAGAATGCATATAAAATCCCAAGTAGATATGACCAGAAAAGAACCTTCTATGTCAAGTTAAAGTTAAAATGCTAAGATTAATCCAGCATTGCTAATTATATATATATATATATTTTGGTCTGATCGTGGGGCCTGAACTCTGGGCCTGGGCGCTGTCCCTCAGCCCTTCAGCTCAAGGCTAGCACTCTACCACTTGAGCCACAGTGCCACTTCCGGCTTTTTTTTTCTGCTTATGTGGTGCTGAGGAATCGAACCCAGGGCCTCATGCATGCAAGGCAAGCACTCTACTACTGAGCCACCTTCCCAGCCCTGCTAAAGATATTTAAAGGAATCTCACACACAAATGAAAAATACAGTAACAAGAGAAGTTAAAAATAATTTCTTAAGAGGAATATATAAGAAGATATGAACATGCTCAACTCTGTGAACCATAAAATTCCTAAGAGAAACAAGAAAGGGAAAAGATGAAGGAGGAGGAAGAGGAGG